AGACAGGCTTCACCTTGCCTACAGAGCCAGTAGAAGAAGCCTGTCATCAGACGAATAGTACCAGACCGCAGAGCACGGCATTCGAATCCAGAACACTACAGCCAAGGCGATGCACCGGTAGGCGAAGAATCCCTTCCAGGAGGCTTCAGGTTAATCCCCGGCTAGCTTCATACACAACGGCAACAGCTTCAGGAGGGGAGGTATCCGGGAATCAGATAAAAACATAAAGAAAAAAGGGAAGTATATAATGGTGATTGAAAGCTGGGCTGAAGGGAATCGCCTACCCGTGCGGTCGATCAGGCAATCGATCGAGCGGACGAATGCGTTTGCAAACACTCGGCTAATTAGACTTTTACCTCAGAGTTGAGAGGACTGTGTTTTTCGGCGGCATTTATCTGGCTACGTTGGCAGAGTTTTTGTTAACACGTTTTTCGTGGTCAAGGCTGTTGGAATTTTGATTTTTCTTCGGCTGGGCTAGAATTGCTGCGGAGAAATTTCTGGGTGGTTAATTCGGAATAGCGAAAAAGGGATGATCCAACAATATCAGCCAGAGGCTTAACTATGGCGGGATGTACGCTATCAGGACCAGCTGATTTATAAGGGTTCAAACAGGCCAGCACTGTGAAGACCTCTGACACCCTGAGAATATTTTCGCGCATTATGTAGCTAGTTGAGCAGTGCGGCTGTGATGGCAAGGCTGACCCACTATCCTTCCGATGCAGGTTTTGGTAGACACGTAGCAGCGCTTCTACTTTATCAACGTCGTCTACAGCCTGGGTACCGTCCTCCATGGTTAGACAGCCGACCACCTCTCTTAAAGAAGCCTTTGACTGGACATAACTGTAATAACACGGGATTAGTTTTCGCAAATTTGGCCAACCTAAGCTCATATGAGTACTTCGCCTGCCGCTGTAACTTAATAGCCATGTTTCGACACCTTTTGTATTGCAGCCAACGTCGGAAGCCCCGAGTTTCTTGATATTTTCTCCACTCAGCATTGCGCCTCTTTATCGCTCTATCAATTTTTCTTCTCCACCATCGGGGTTTCCCAAGATGTCTCCTGGGGCGAAGAGGAGCAAATTCGTTCAGCAACTGTACAAGTCCACTTTTGAGTAGAAGCCACCTCTGTTCCAAAGTGGCCTTGTCCTGTTCAGGGATCCAAGTGATCTGAAGGGCTCGATCCCGCAGCTTCGTAAAATCAATACGATTTAAATCTCTTCCCATTCGACGGTTCTCTGCAAGCCTCGGTGTGTCCAGAGAAAAGGTCAAAACACAATGATCACTCTTACCTATGGGTGGCTCCACGCATAGGTCAATCAAGTGACCATGTCTGGCGATCACGATATCAAGGGTTGAAGGGGTACTCCCAGTACGACTCCTAGTCGGAACATTGACGTATTGCTCGAACGCATTTACATGCATCCAATCTACTAGTTCCTTCTCTAAAGTACCCACTCTGTTTTCAGCATGCTGCCAATCAGCATGCGGAAGGTTTAGGTCACCGACGATCAGAAAATTAGGTGCGGCCATTGCCGCCTGTCTTAGTAACGTACCAAGATCCCTGTCCTCTTCTCGCGTGGAGGATGGGCTACGATAAACACATACTATAATCTCCAATCTACCCCATGCTCTTAGATAGCAGGATACCACCTGAACGTTAGCAGAACTCATGGTAAATGGAGCCTCCCAGTGTTTATATTGGCACTTTATAAGCAAGAGTACTCCTCCACCAGTCTGATACCCGGGCCTGTCAGCCCTGTAGCACGCAAAGTCTATAAGCAGATCACCAATAAGGTCATCTGGAGAGAGCCAGGACTCCGACACAGCGGCCACATCAACATGCTCACAACGCGTCACTAACTCCCCCCATTTGTTACGCACACTACAACAATTAGTGTACCACACGCTTAGTCTCTCCGAACGCGGTTGTTTCCCCTCGGACGTAGAGCCCGAGGGGATAACCCGTTTTTTGTACCATTTCATTTCGATCAGCTGCCTGAGTCGATGAATCAACGCTGGGCTGCTGTAACGCATTACGGGATAATCCCTTTCCTGGCTTCGCCCGCCTGGGCTTGCTGGATAAACTCCCGACGGGTTTCCTCCCATTTACCTGAGTCGACCTAACAGCACTGCACTTCGGATTTTCTGTACGGTCCAATTTAGGTGTGGCAAGTTTTTCATTTATCCTATCATTTTGTGAAAAGGGCATACCACCCATGGACTTTGGTGCCACTACTATCGAGCATGAGGCCTCGATTGTTTTTGAACGCACCGGCTGAAGTCCCATTGCCACACCTTCACTACCCTCTTCCGCCATAGAGGTGTGATTCACATTTCCATCAAGAGCAAGTTTCTCCACAACCAAATGCAGGCCAGGAGTTATCTCGCTGGCGTCTTGTGAAGGGGGTTGTCCAGACAAGCTGACTGCCCTTGCCACAGGAGAGCAGACGCTAGAGTTTTGCTTAGGTGTCTGCGTAACGTGAGGCTCACTATCGTGAATTCCAACATGTGAGACCGCAGATTCGTTAGCCAAGCTGGTATTAGTACCTTCTAACCGGCTCAGCCGAGGGGCTTTAGCCTTCGAAGTTAGTGTGTCCGGTGCTATTTGATACCGACCATTTGTCTGACTTGCAACCAACCCAGCCCTGTTAAGTAGAAGGTCCCGGTGTATAGGGTTCCGAAACTCAACCAGGATAGGCCTTGCATAACCTTGTTGGCGGAGCATACTTGTTTCTCTCCAGCTGCCAACACGATGTACTCTTTTGATACCAACGTATAACGGTATTCCGGCTATACGAAGGATATCGTGCACTCGCCTTCTGTCTAGGTCCCGTCGAGTTTTAGTTTCTCGTATGACTGGCTCCTCCCTATTGTAGATAAGAACGTTTCGTTGTCTACCCATGGCAAGTTCTGCACTTCGCAAGTAACATTCCAATGAAGACTGCAACTCTTCAACTTTTGAACGCAATGTCTCAATTAGCAAGCTCTGGTCACGAATCAACTTCTCGGCAATGTCTAGTCTATGCACACAGTTTCTACTAGCAGACTCATGCACAGCTGAGACATGAGTAACTGGATCAAAAGTCCGATCGTGTATCAAGCGAGAACCAATGTCTGCTAAGCACACGCAGTGGAAGCAAATCCACTTTAATTGGGAATGTCGGGCATAAAGATCAATAGAGTCCTGGTCTAATCTAGAGCAGTTGTTATGGTACCATAACAAGCATCTGTCGCACTGAATTCCCTCTTTGACCTCAACGCCACAAGTGTGCTCACCACATTTATAGCCAGCCACCGATGTCATTACAAATAGCACGTAACAGCCACGTATAGAATAATAAAAAGCTAGGTAGTTTGGTGGGATTAACTGACCAAATTAATGCAGGTATGACGGCTTAAGATGAATAAGTAGTCACAACAAGTTAATACAATAGAAAATACAACAATATTAAATAAAACAATAAACACAGCGAATTAACACGACCAAAAGGAACAAAGAGAAGCAATACTGGAACGAACTCACGCGGTTACCGAAGATCCAAGATATCTTGGATCAATATTTGATGGAGCAGAGTAAAAATTTCCCACTCAGTCACTTTAGATCACGCTTCCAAGCCAAATTTGAAGGTAGAAATTTCAAGATAGAGCTTCAGAGCGTCGTATCCGCCACTTGGAAATAATTGTTCATTGGTTCATTGGGTAGTAGAGAGCAGGAGGGGAGATCCCATGTCAGCTCCATCGCTTCCCGATCATTGCTGGGATGCTCGTCATTGCGCAACGGAGACTCCGGAGAGGCCATCGCACTCGTAGCTGAAGCAACACGATCGCGGCATATTCAACAGGTGTGAATCTAGTAGTCGTTTGAAGCAATCCTCCGTCTGTGCATCAACGACCGGCGGCGGTAACCGGTTCTAAATATTCACAACGCGAGTGGACAGAGCAAGAATGGGCCGTACTTTGAGCCTCCGTGGTTTGAATATTTTCCATTGGTGGCCTCTATTGAACTCCCGATGTTGAGGTGGAAGAATTCCTGCAACTCTCTCCCTAGTTCTCCCCTGAGGATACGACGGGTAAAAATCAAGTCCCCACGCCGGCGACGGTAATCCATAGAAAACATATTCAAATGTCGAAGTCGAAGGGGATACGGCAGGTCACATAACTCAGAGACAAACTTCGATCCACGCCGTTGGACCTTTTCGATCATGTCGCGCTCAAATTTGGAAAGTGGGTAGGCAGCAGGGAGGCCGTATTCCAAAATCGGGCGCACATGCGAGGTGAACAGAAGTCTAAAAAGTTCCGGTGTCAAGCGATAGAAAGCTTTTCGGATGGCATAAAACATCCTGTAGGCAGCAGCAACCCTCTTCATGGTGTCCTGAGTGCATCTTAAGTCTGGGGAAACAATCACGCCCAGATTTCTCTCTGAAGTGACATTTTTGAGCAAGAAACCACCTATGTGGTAAGCGCCAGATGGTTCAGGAGCGCCGATAGACAGGACGGAACATTTGTCTTGATTAATGGGTGAGCGCCACTGAATCGACCAATTGTGCAGATCGAGCGTCTCTTGTAATCGATCAGCATCCTCTAGCGAGGATACCTCCTTCCATATCTTTAGATCATCCGCATAAATCAAGCAATCCGATTGAAGCTCAGACGGTAGATCATTGATGAAGATGTTGAAGAGTTCGGGGCCGAGGACGGAGCCCTGTGGAACACCGCTGGTCATATGCACAGGATCAGAATACGTTTCGTTCACTCTCACCAGCATGGAACGAGTGTGTAGGAAATCGGAAATCCACGAGAGAAAGTTTCCAGTGACACCGATTCCTCGGAGTTTGTAGAGAAGCTGTTCATGCGGGACCTTATCAAAAGCTTTACTGAAGTCCACGAACACAACATCCAGGCGTTTGCCAACATCCAATGAATTTGCCCATTTTTCTCTAGCCATAAGCAAGTTGGTAGAGCAGGAGCGAGCTTTGCGGAAACCATGTTGGGCACTGGATATCAGATCTATCCGCTCAAGATGAAGCCGAAGCGCCCGTTTCAGGACCCGTTCCATGATTTTGCACACTATCGATGTAAGGCAAATGGGCCGGTAACTAGCTGGGTCTCGCCGGTTTCCTCCTTTGTATATGGGCTTGATGATGCCTATCTTCCAAGCGGTCAGGAGAAGTCCGGACTGAAACGATCGACAGAAAACCTGCGTGATAGGTGCAGCAATGTACTGAGCCACAGTCTTGAGGAACAAGGGGTGCAAGTCGTCAGGACCAGGCGATGAGTAAGGATCCAACTCACCGAGAAGTTTCAACACGACGTCAGTGTTTATATCGACGTGCTCTAACAGAGAAGGGGGAGTGCACACTGTTCTGTCAGAGAACGACGCTGATGTTGAGTACACTGAAGAGTACTGCTGCGCCAGGAGACTGGCCTTGTCGGTGTCTTCGTGAACTGGATCCCCATGCTCGGAAGAACACAGGGCAGGGATACCACTGCCTGCTCTAGTGCTCCGTTTGAGGTAGGAGAAAAGCGTCTTAGGAGTGTTTCTAGAAAGTGTGGCTAGGGAGAGTTCATATTGTTGACGTTTCTCGCGTTTTTGCAGGGTACAGATATTTCTAACCGTTTTGTAACCTATGTAGTCATGCTCTGATCGTGTGATCCTAAAGCGGTCCCAGAACTTACGTCTTCTGTTCATTAAGGATCTCAGTTCACGATCGATCCACGGAGGGCCTCTAGAGAGCGGTCGCTTTTTGGAGATGGGGATAACTTGTTCAATGAGTGATGTCATCTTGGAATACAAAAGATTCCACGCACCGTCCACATTGAGATGTTCGGGAATACACCAATCCATACTGCTTGCAGCCGAAGGGCATCAGCACGCCAGAAATTTCGGCGGACGGCACATGAGTTGTGAATGGTAAAGCGACGAGTCCACTGTAATAAAATAGTACAATGATCGCTTTTCCCAATGGGTTGAAAGACTGTTAGGTCCATAACGTCTGACTGCGCTGGGGAGAGCACAAGATCCAGGATATGAGGCGACTGGCCGGAGAGAATACGAGTCGGCATAGACACATGTTGCTACAGGCTGCAGTCGAGAACGGTATCAAGGCGGCATCAAAGGAATCAGGTGGACGATTGCAAGCAAAAAGGTCCCAGTCGATATTAGGAGCATTGAAATCTCCCAGAATAAGACAATGCTTACAAGCACCGTACTTCTTAATCAGTTCCAACAGGCGAGCTCCCGCGCCCAGTGGCGCTCTGTAGATGACACCAATCAAGGAAGATCTGCACCCGTCATGAATGCGGCACCAAAGGGCATCGAAATCGCTGTCATCGTCACATGAGACCTCAACTAGATGGGACTTCAGATCCGCCCTCCAGTACAGTATTACGCCGCCTCCCGACTTCCTCCCATGACGATCGGCCCGAGCAAGGTGGTATCCAGGGACAGATACTTCAGAGTCAATGATGTCAGGGAATAACCATGTTTCAGTGAATGCCATTAAATCAGGACAAACATCTGCGGCAAGCGTCTGGATCTCATCAAGTTTATTTCGCAGACTACGAACATTAGCGAACAGCACACGCAGTCCGTACTTTTGCGTTACTGTCCTGGGGTGGCAAAAATCGGCCTCCAACGGGTTCTCGGAGTTTTCCGAACTACGCGAAAATCCACGATATGAAGGTCCGTTTCACCACTCGCCCGACGGGTCCTCAGCTCATCAACAGCTTTTTTCATTTTGATCCGATCTTCCGGGGAGAGATCTCTCAACACATAAAACGGCTTGCCTTTGAGATGTAAGGTCCGTAGGAGAATGCGTCGACATTCTTCCTCGTCTTGGAACACAACCTTAAGGGGGCGAGCCTTGAGGGAATCTTCTTGTTTCCTACCTAAGCGGAAAGCCGAGATAATGTTGATTCCCTGTTCGCCTTCGTCGAATAAAACAGAGATCAGTCGTTCAAAGAACACTTGGTCATCTAACATCCTTCCGGCTGGAGCATCTTTGGTCGATTCAGGAGCATTCATGATGATGAGACATCGGTCACGGGAGGGTGGTAGGATACGCCTGGTGGTCTGCGGTTGGGAAGGATTTGTGTTGTCTTTGATCAGCGATTCCAAATGGTTTATCTCGTCAAGGACAGATTTGAATTGGGACTGAGGGGAGGGAGTCTTGGATTTAGACTTTGACTTAGTCTTAGCGTTATACATACCACCAGATGCGGTGGTACTTTCCTTGACAACCGATGCATATGTCTTTGTCTTGGGCTCACTGTGCTGGACGTATTCCAATGGCACGGAGAAAGAAGCAGACGGCCGGCGACTTCGTTTACCTGTGGGGTAGGTTGGTACGGTGGCAGGAAGGGGAGATTGAGGAGTAATCAGGGGGACCTTGAGCTCGGGTGCTTTGGGTTCCGTTGGAATGGCGTGAGGGCTGACCGAAGAGAGCCCATTCATAAGACATCAGTTGTTTAGCGAAGTACGGCAGACATCACAAAAGAAAACAACAGCTGGAGAAGTCATCAGCTGTAGTGCTTCATACTGATCAGGACTGATGCCACAGCAAGCGATATGCATCAAGCCGTCGCATCCAGAGCATTGTACGGCTTTTGAACGAGAAGTATCAGAATCAATCAGAATCAGAATCAATTTATTAGGAGAATAAGATAGGAATCTATGTGATCTCCACCATAAGTAAAGCAAAAATGACCCATGTCGAAGATGGGTCTGTGTGAATGCACATCAATAGTCGTTTAGTAATAAGCAAACAAAATACCGATATATAAGCACAAAGAAAGCACTATGTGTCTTGGTCTTTTAGGGTTGCTAGTGTAGTCCTGACATAACCACGCGACGAAAGGAGGTCAAACATGGCGTCTGCATCGAAACACAAGTCTGAAAAATGTTTGTCAAAGCTTCGTTTGAAAGACTGCACTGAATCAGAAAGAACAACGGAACTGGGCAACCAGTTCCAGAAATGTATCACACAATGAATATGAGTGACATTGTCCATACGTGGAACTTCCAGCTTGTAAGAATGCCGTCGGGTGATAGGTGCACCCACAATACAGAACATAGGTCTCAGGTGAGGAAAATGTCTCAGGTGAAGGATTCTAAACGTTGTAATGAGGTCAATTCGTAATCTCCTGTATACTAGTGTATGGAGACGTAACTTGTGGCACCTCTGGTGGTAAGATAAGCCTCGGAGCGTGGAGATCAAGCGGGTGACTAGGTGCTGGACTTTTTCCAGTTTTCTCATCTCACTTTTTGTACTTGGATAATAGGCCGGTGCCCCGTATTCTAAAAGCGGGCGCACCATGGAGACGTATAGCCGGACAGCAATTTCCTCCGACCAAACGTGGAAGGTCCGCTTTAATGACCAAAACATGCGAAGGCTGTAACAGTAGACCTTGTGCGCA